GGAGAGAATTGATTTTGTGGGGGGGGAGGGGGGGAGGGGTCTGTATTGAAAAATCAATTCCAAGGGGGGGGTCTGTATTGAGAAATCAATTCGAGGGGGGGGGTGTTGAATTGAGTGATCAATTATTCGAACCGGACGCGCCAACACTTGCTTCGCAAGACAAACTCAAGGTATCCCCTGAAGGGCTACCTTTCGTGATCTGATAATTCCGGCTAGTAGACGGCGATTGTGTAAACCCATTCCATGCAATGCTGGAGAAGGTTCTTGCGCCTGCGAGAGACACGGAGAAGTTGGAAGACTTGCTTGCCTGGCCACGTGAGGGGCACAGCCGGTACAGCCAACAAAACTATAACAAAAATATACACACTAAAGCAAACAAACAGCACAAGTAACAAACAGTTGGGTGGTTGTTTGCTATATATGAATAATTATTACCAAAGCAAACAAGCAACCAACTAAAACAACCGCCGTGCCCAAGTTCTGGAAAAGCCTGAGTAGCTGACGAAGATTGGCTGGGGGTGAGTTGCCCGACCCAAACAGAACACAGCCTCTTTGCCTGTTCCAACAGTAGGATGTGTTGGTCAGGCTTCCCTTCCCAAGAAGTACTGGGGATGATCCATATATGATTGATCTATGGTATATAATGTTCGACCATGTTCATGGGATACATGTACAACATACAGCAACAACCATCCAGCCATGGATAGTTCCATCTGTGTGAAGTCAACATTGGCGCTGCAACTTTGGCCCACAGCACAGCTACTTGTCGCAACTGCAATCGGATGACATATCTTTTTGCTCTAGAGAGGTCGAATGAAACATGTAACATGTTGGTCAAGGGTGAAACCTCGCTAGAACTCACAATCACACCTAATCATATACCTACAGGATCCTAGTACAGGCATTGTTGAAAGTCCTCGACTTCCTACATGGATCCGACTCTCGTGTCAGGCAAAATAGGCTCCCGACTGTGCTCGACTTCCACGAACATCCCCGTGCAACATCCCCAGTTCTCCTCAGCGTGGTCCGCTGTCCTCCGCTGTCCGCCCACTGCCGCTCCCACTCGCAGCTGCTGTCCGCTTCGGCGCCCGCCTGGAGGAGCCGCTGCCGCAGGCGCTCCTTGCTACCGGCGGAGCGTTCCTGGAGTCGGAGCGAACCGGAGGACGGTCGAGCGGTCGGAAGGGGAGGGATTTCGGTTCATGAACGGGTGGTCAACCCTAAACGAGCTGGTCAACCCTTGTTTGATGTGCAAAGCTGTTCGTTGGGTTGAGCTCTGTCATCCCTGGAACGGCCGTTCCATGGGGATTGTATCACCGAAACGACAGAAATGCTTGTGATGTGGGGCTTGCAATGGCACAATATCTGGGCAACTCGCTACATGGAGACTGCAACTATACATACCACTGCAAAATGGCCGTTACAGGAACATCATCTTCAATCAAATCTTGGATGGTTTATGATGGTTTGATTCTTTTTTGTGTAATTCTCTGCTTTTCGGGTGTTCAGAATGAGTCGGCTCTTCTTCACCGGGTGCATACCCGTCGTCGCGGCTGAATCGCCAATTCCAAACGTGCCAAGAAATGCCAAACGGCCTCGTTCATCTCCATTGCTTGAAACAGCTTCACCCCGCTCGGACCACTCGGCCATGGCGCGAGCGGTCTCCAGTTAGGGATGGATGTCGCGGTGGCCCACAGCTTTCAATGAAGGTCTGGGCTAGGATCCTTCTTGCTACCAAGCTTCAGACACTTAGACAAAAACACCTTGCTGATGTATCCAAATACTTGCATGAATGGCTTCCGGCAAATTATATGTAAATAATAAGATGCTGCTTTCCTGCAGCACTCCTTCCAAACACTGTGAAGTACCTGGCCACATTGAATGAACATCAGTCACAGGATGTCTTTTTTTGGGGTGGCCACTACGCTACGCTGCAGAGCCGAACATCGAAAATTGGAGAATTCGGTGGAGATACCACATGGAACGGCTGCTACGGGGTTGAGATGGGTTGATGCCCTTGGACCTGTAAAGCATATTGAGAGAACACCACGAGCAACAGAAAGAAATAACAGGAAATAACACAACATGTTCTATCCCAGTATATCCCCAATGTGCATTCTGGATGCACCCCGGCAGTCTAAAATGTCTAAAAAACAATTAGCCGCAGCCTGATTTGTCTTGTCAACAATCCCACAGATCCTTTCAAGCCAGGGGCACCATAGCAAGAGTTCACCTTAAAATATCCCACGGAATATGAAACAGAAACTGGCCAAGTCTGTCTTCTACTTGGAAACAGTGTATATCAGGAAGTTCGAAAACAATAAATGGCACTTCACAATGGAAACAATTAATTAAGTTACTTGGAAACTGTTTCACACTTGCCGAATGTCATCATTAGAAAGTGTTCCTTTTGAGACAAAACCGCTCTGACCGCAGGTCTTTCGAAGCGATTGCCGCAGCTTCGAAGCGAAGCCCCAAGATCTGCAGGGCAGGCCGGGCAGCCACCTGGACGAAGAAACGGAGAAACTCCGGTGTTTCTTGGTGGCAATGGCCTCCAACCTAATAGCAAAAGGAACCTCATAGCGATGGCCTCCACCCTAGAAGCGATGGCCTCCAACCTACCCAAGCAAAGTGGCTCATGGATGCCAATGGCATTTTGTCTGTGAATTGTTGTCCTTTACAGGTCGTTTTGCTTCGTCTGCTCCAAGCATCAAAGATCATGAAGCACCCAACTGCCTGGAACTGCTGGGGTCTTCTGTTTCTTTTCGCCTTCCCTCGTTTTTTGTAATTAATTGTGTTTTTTGCGCAGCACGGCACAGTCCGCCTGCCCATCGCACGAAACTCTGAGCCGCCCGAACGCCGAAGTTCACCACTTCCGTGGAGTGTCCCTGCCGCGGCAGCGCGATGAAGAAGTCGGAGCGCTTGGGCCCTTGGGGAAGGGATCCTGGAAAATGGGACACACCATGAGTGCCAGCCAGAAGCTGAATCACTGTTGAGTACGGACGAGGTGATATTCAAATTTGTCCAAAGCAGGGAAGCATGGGAGCGTAATCCCACAAAGCAACAGAGACACGATTAAAAACACTAAACAATTATCGTTTTAAAACAAACAACAAATTTAAAGCATATTGAATCTTGAGACAATTTCTGGAGCGTCAATGATCCCAGTTGGCTGTGCTGTCCGCAACAGCACCCAACCATTTGAGATCTCTCATGGCTATGGGAGGCAAAAAAACACATACCTAAGAACCACTCAAACAAAGAACTCAATTCCAACTTGCCCGCCAAGCCGACAATCATGGCAAATCTGGGCTGACGTCAAACAACCTCCTGTTTGCCCTCGAACAGCTGCAACACCTATAAGATAAGCCACAGGAACCGTCTTACCCAAATGCTGCTTCCCCAGAAAGACCCGTTTCTTTGCCTCCTGAACGCCAGAAAACCGCTCCTCTCCTCAGCGAAGGACGGTGACAACGGCACCGTGACAGCACTGGGAGGAATGCAGCGGCTCCGAGCCAAGTAATTACCTGCCATGTACAGTACTGGAATTAGAACACTTTGACCTACATTAACTGTCACTCACATCAAAAGCTGATATCGAACTCAGGTCGACATGTGTCAAGTGTATTTTGGGCCTCGGACTTCAGCTGTCTGGTCCGAAGAACAAACTCCGGCCGGCCCTGCTCAGTTTCCCGAAGACCAGTCGGTTTGGTGGATGTGAACAAGAAATTGAACAATTCTTGTTCAGTTCGCGAAGGTTTCACCTACACTGACTTACAAGCTGAACTGTGTTGTTTGATGTTCTTTGGATCCAAAACTGCTCAGATCGGATCCTGTTCCACGGTGCCGGTCCTCCCGGTCTTCCGCGCGTCTTCCGCGCGTCCGGGTGTCGCGGCTGGTCGCACGCAGCGAGGGCCCAAAGGCACGCCGTGAGTGGAGCCCTGCAGAAAGTCGACCGGCTGCGAGAAGGAGCGCCCGGGAGGTGCTGCGGTTGGATCAGCGGATGATTTGATTCCGAGTTCCAAGACGTATAGAACTTGATAGGGACCTTCAATTCAAAAAGCAGGTAAATATAGTAAATGTATACAGGTACATTTAAGATAACATGTCATTCCAATGTACTGAGCGACTAGGCGCGGAGATGGTTGATCCACGTCTCAAACATGTTGGCGTCTCAGATTTTGTTAGGGTATCCAACATGTTCATAGTAGTTGAACCTATTCAGTCTCAAACTGTCTGGATCTCCATGCGGGACCTGCGCGTAGATATTGTTCCATGACTTCGATGTTTTATTGTTTTAAACAATGTTCCCCTGCGGCTTTGTTAATATATTTATATATAGTATATCAAAAACGTAAAAACCCAAATCGATCAACACAAACAGTTCTTGGAAAAATGTGTTGGACCAGTGTTGGAATGTATTTGAAGACCTACAGTTTAACAATTGCGTGACCGTGTGGGCCCAGCATGCCAGTTTTTTGTTTTAGCATTTCTATTGTTGGCAGGAACAGCGGGCATGTGGCCAAACCAGAAGTCAAAGCTATGGATGCTGACATTTTGTTGAATTGAGCCTCGTCTTTTTGAACAACAAAACAAAACAATGAGCCAAACAAAACAATGTGCTCGGGAACTGCAAAACAAAAGCCTTCATCTGGGGCTTCTGCAAAACAAAACACTGAGCCCGGTTTCCCTCGGACACTCTCCCGTTGGCTCTTCAATTCTTGTCGACGAAAAGCAGGCCCCCGGGGGGGCGGCCAAAAATGGAGCTTCCACCCGAAAACATAACCACCAAAAAAAATGCAAACCTGAAACCACATTTGGGGGTTGTGTATTTTCAGGTGGAAGCTCCAGTTGTTCATGGTTGTTCCACCCGAAACCATGCCTTCAGACCATCACCACCCACCGAAACCCATCCCATGTGCCGACCCCCCCGTGCTGGCTCCCGGATCTGCCACCCCCCGTGCTTCACCGAGTCCGCGGCGTTCGAGTCCGACGTCAACCTGGCCAGAGGCGTGGACGCCGTCCATGGCCTGGGATGGTCGGCCGCCCCAAACCGACCCCCCTGGCACCACCACCCCAACTGATCGGTCAATATGGTACCAGTCCCAGGGGTCGTGTCTGGGTAGGGTTTGCTCCTTGGACAACAGCGAAAAGATGTGAAATGCATCCAATGACAAGGACCTGCTGTAGTGTGACACTAACAGTTTAAGAGTTTAACGCAATAAATTTGACCTTCGTTACTCTAGTCTTGGGAAAAAAGAACGACCCTACACGGTCATTGAGGTCGCGAAGCGACGATGTCAGAGTCTGGCAAGACCGCCTATTTATACGACATGTTACAAAGCCCACGTGCTCCACCGTGCCCCACCCAAACATCCTTGTCACATGGGGTGTGCCACCAGCCAGCCATTCGAACTCAGGCACCACTGCCACATCCATGGCGTTGAGGTTGCTGATCTCGCTAGGCCAAAGGGCCCTACACCTCAAGAAGCGCAGAACCCATCCTGAATTGGACAATAGTGCTATTTGATTGAAGCACCTATAGATGGAGCACAGAAACAACACGCAGCCCCACCGAACAAACATGCAGCTGGATGGTCTGAATGGATCCACAGAAAACCACTTCAGGCTCTGGAAGGAAGCATCCTACTGATGACGCCTTTTTTCCTTTTGAGATGTCTTATTGAACGAAAGGGGCTCAGATGGGCTAATAAAGGCCTTTGCCTATAGGAGTACATATACCTTAGACCAAAGGGTGGAATTCTTCCGTTCTTTTTCCACCCCGGATCGAAGCGGGCCGTGTACGCCAAGCCTCCCTACAGTGAGACGTGCACCGCCTGGCCGGCGAAAGCCAGCGAGACGTGGGCTGCCTGAGCGCTCCCGGACGTCCGCGTGAAAGCGAGGAGGGCGGGGGACCGGGAGGGGATGAGGATCGGTATGAAGATTGGACGATCGGAGGCACAGAACAAAGGTCCGTAAGCGTGACAAAGGCCCAAGCCCATCCCGTCTGGAAGCGTCTGAAAGTGTCTGGAAGGCAGGTCTTGTTATGTAATCTTGGGAGAATTTCTATTGATGCGGATTCATCGTTTTATTGATGAGGGGAGGCAGGCAGTTTTCAGGGACCGGTCATATGACACATGCACTCGAAATTGTCAATGCAGCTGGGTTCTTCTTCGTCAGGAAAGCTTCCTGATCACCCCAGCATCTCTTTTCAGGATCTTTCTTTCTTCGATGTGTTTCTCTGATATTCTGGTCAACAAACCCCTCCAGGTCGACCTAAGCTAAGTGAGTATACGCCCTCTTGCCCTCGCGGATCCTCGGCTGCCCAAACGGGTGGGAGATCCAAGCGGGTCGCCTGCGGAAGCGTGAAATGCCATTGATGGCGTCAAGATGATATCCATGGGTCAGCACTGTGCATCACCCACTTCCATGTGTCAAGTTTATGTGTTTATTGTTTATTTTGTTTTATTTAAGCAGGCAGATATTGTATTCCAAGTCGCTTGGAGTCGGCGTCATGTTTGGTCAAAATGGTTGATCAGTGAGGCGCCACCCCAAGCTATTTGATGTCAGGCCCACATCCTGATCCTAAAAAGCAGTATACCGTATAGGTAGAAATGGATTAGGCAGCCCTGGACATGCCCTTCCATCCGTCGTCCTTCACACGCGCGAAGAGTGCCACAGCCACAAGCCACCTGGAGGTCGAGAATGGCACTTTGGGGCTCTTCCCATGGTCCCTTGAAAACAGGTAGCGAAAGGATGCATGAAAGTGGACTCAGTTCCAAAAATATCTTGGAATGTCTTGGATGTGAAATCATGTACCCTGCCATGTATAGCAAAGCAGCGGCGATCAAAAGTGCTTCAAAAACAAAACAAACATTTGATGCGTTCCAGGAGCCGCGGTAAAACACGTTGGATTCCTTGCTCTTCTGGATCACTTTCCGGTCTTCTTGGTGCAAATACTGATAGCCCACCGTGGTTTCTCGGTTTTACCGTTGGCTCAAAAGGTATGGGTCGGTGTGGAGCCATGTGCCGGGCCATGGAAATAGAAATTGCCACTTATGTATATTATCACATATAGATCTAACACATACAACAAACACATCTATATCATTTATGTGTATACAATGTACAGACTTTAGTTTAGTTAGTTTAATGTTTGAACTGATTGAAATAGAGAGACTTCTGGGCCCAACCGGTCACTTGGTCTCTTTTCCTTCTCAACGTCCCATCGCCGTTGAGGTCGGCTGTGGGTTGCCGAGGATCGCTACTCAGTGCCAGCTGACTCAGCTGGTGAACCACTTCTCCCCCTCAAGGGGCGAGCGCCACATCCCCTGAATTCAGAGAACACACGGGTTATAGCGCAAGTTTATACAATGCTTTGTCCAAAGCATTACAAATGTTAGCCTGCTTCTGTGGACATCTTGCTGTTGGTCGAAACTGAAGAGAGTAGATGACCCAGTTGCAGCACTCAGAACACTGAGGTGTTATGTGCAGGACACCGCAGGGCACCGCAGAGCACTGAGCTTACTTGACTTTTCTGCCAAGCATGCAGCATGTACCAAATCAACATATGCAGCATATGTGTAAATAGATTGTTTGAGGCATCCCACGACGCGACCACGCGACCATTTCTGCCAAGGATCTAAACAAGCCACGACGCTGAGTGGTCTCAGCGTCGTGGCTTGTTTAGGGAATCTCAGTGGAAGCTCTCAACTTGGATGGTAGAGCTCTTCTCCATGTCAGAGATGGCTCGTTGTAAAGGGAACATGCCCACCTAGCTCGATGTGACTATGCTCACCAAAAGACCATCTGGCGCCAGGAAAACGGTCCGTTCGAGACCCAATGTCTTCGCCATTGTGTGGTAGTTCTTCACTGCAGCTGGTGGCCCGGTGCCAACGATCCGTACCCACATCTGGAAACTTTGCCTCACATCTTTTTGAGACCTAAAACGAACTCACAAAAGGTTTTTTTTCGGAGAAAAGACTCCACAAAGCTTTCGAAATGCTCATGGTTGGGACCCTTTGCAGAGTGCAGAGTGAGCTATCCGTCGAGACACTTCCGCGCGTGACGTCATGACGACGTCATGACGACGTCCTTTGACGTCAAGTTGCCTCATACTCCTTGGCAGCGTAGAGCACTGCATCCAGGCGCTTCCAAGCGGCGAACTTCCAAGGTCACGTCACGGCGCTTCATGCTGGCCACCCTCGGCTGATCCTGTGAAAAACAAGGCTAGTAAACAACGTGACTGAACTTGAAGAATCCACTTCAGGACTTGTGTCTGAACTCATCTTGTTAGGCTCCTCTTGATTCTCTTTGTCAAAGCTGTTTCATCAAGATTCCACCAAAACAATCCAAAAAGCAAGAAGCCAGCTACAGTTGTCAATCTCAAAAGGAATGATCTTGCCCCTTTTCTGTGTCCTCCTGCACCAAGTGTTTGGAAAGATCGCCAGCCACCGTTGTACCCTTCCGGCAATTTGTCTTTGCATGGTTGACGCCGATGAGCGAGAAAACACAGTTCTCCTTCGGATATTTTGAGGAAACAATCCAAGAACTTCCCGATGTAGTCCTCGGAATTCACCCAAACACCTGAGGTTTTGCTAAGGCCATCCAAAAAGCCGGCTTCCTTGGCATTTGGTCCGAAAACGCATGGGATAACCCATGGCTCACCTTTCCTCTCCTTGATGTAGATCAAGGCCGTGATATGTCTGAGCTTGGCCCTCCTTGTGCCGCCGAACACAACTGCCAGTCATCGAGAGTCGAGAGGCTGCGATGGCGTTCCACTGATGCACATTTCGCACCATGTTTTGTTGTCAACGAAGCATGGTGGGAAAAGATAGCCAAACTTCTTGCCCTCCTTGGCCTCCTCATCCATGAAGTCACAGATCTCTGTGAGGATGATAGCACCACTGGGTGTTAAAAGTGTTCGCAAAATCTGGATGAACCTTGAAATGTTGGAAGATGTTGGGACGATGGACTAACAAACATCATATGGAACAAACATCTGTATTTCAACGCACTTTCGAGTCAAATTCATCTTAGACATGTGGATCGTATTGATCTGAAAATGGCCATTTCCGGCCTAACCGTTTTTACATGTCGACTTACGAAGCTGTGGCTCCCAGCTTGTGGACGTGTGGACGGGGCCTACCAGGAGTTCATGCATGTTCATGCGCAACACGGTTGCGACCCAGCCACCTGTGCGCGACATGTGTCCAGGAAGGAGATATCACCCACTGAACACTGAACAAAAATCCATGTGAACCAGAAAACATCAAGTCTCCATCTTGCTGGAACCCAGTGACATTCTGTCCCAGAAAATTCCACTTTCACACCAAAGAACCACAACACCTGCTTGACGTTACCAAGTTCATGTGGAAGAGTGACATAGCGAATCAAACCCAAAAGACTCCTCCAAATGAGGAAACAACAAACTACACCACGTCACCCATTCCCTTCTGACCTCACGTCTTGACCGGAGTGCAGGCCTCCAGCACGTCTTGACGAGAAGCAAAACCGCCAATCCCATTGGTTGAGGGGTTTCACCACCATAATACCCTTATGGCGGTATCCCTCTGGTCCATGTCCATGGTCCATATCCCTTGAAAACCTACCACTGTGGCTCCCAGCTTGCTACTCCTTTGGCATGCCAACAAAGCAGCCTCTTCAGGCCGGCGTTGCAAGATGGAATCGCACTTTTAGATCGGTTTTTGGCACATTGTCCTTGGGATGGAAGTAGATGAGTAGCAGAAAACAAAATTGAAAGGAATAGTTTGTCGGTGGTAGTTAAAACTTGTCAAAACAATAGTAGTATACTAACAATCGTGATTGACAGAGTGAAGTCTGTCTGGTATGTTAACGCGAAAACAAAACAACGTCTTAGAGGATGTTAATGCAAACTAAGCCTCCAATTGACCAGCTGGTGATGGCAAAACGTCGCTTTCCAACGCAAGATGCCCTCAAGGCATCAGCCCAAAACCTCAATCAACCTCAACCCGTTCGGTTTACCGGGGGAAGCAACCAAGGCCACTGGGCAATCTTGAACCTTGATTCTTATCCAAAAGTCTGTCCCCTCCCAAGATGCCACCACTGGGGCCACAACCGATGCACAGCTGGCATCCACCAAATTTTGCCTGCACTGGCAGGTGCCCACCACATGAAGGCCAAATAGGTTGCAGTGGCAGCATTGATTGGGTCTGCCCGATGGGCCAACCAGTGCAGCGGATCCGGCAAATATATATATATATATTATATATATATGTAAATGTAGTTATACCATTGTTTTTTGAGGGCGGGTGGAAGTTATCCATTGGTCACTTCCTTCTTCGTTCTGCCACGGCTATTTCAGTTCCTGTTGTTCAAGGGCACGCAACTTTGTCAGTTTGAAGGTGCCCCTAAAACAAGCTTGCCAGGTGAAGCCAAGGTATAGGAGCAGCTCAACGGGCACCGGGCGACGCCCTCACATCCCAGCCTTGCAAGCGGCGAGATGACCTGAGGACATTTGTTCAAGCACAGGTCTTATCTACATGCTGGCGCCCTATGATGCTGATGCAGGCTGATGCAGGAGTTTTTTTGAACTCACCGGATTTGCACTTGGTCTTCTGCCATGGCTGAAGTTCTGGAATAAAGGCTGAAGCACACATGCAAAGCCCTGAGCATGCCACTGCTTTAGCTTAAGGATTTGATTAGATGATTTAATACTTAGATTAATGTACTTAGCTAGCCTTGTTCATCTGGGCAGATCGCGAAGCCAGTGGTTGTCTGTTTCGGCTCGAGAAGCATGAATGAGTCTCAAATTAAATTCCAGTGTGATCGGCCGCTTTGGCCCTGCACAATACTCAGAAAGTAGCTGTTGGAAATGGAAGGCTTGGGACATGCTTCTGGAAAGGCCCATGTAGCATAATATCGCACAAGATAATTAATACACGTGTCTTAGCACCATGAGCTGTCTCAAAACACTATTTAGCCAAGTTCCGTACAGTCTATAGTGTTGGTTGATCTTGGGGTGCCGATGGGTTTTCCTTGGCTTTAGATTTTGCTTCTTAACAATGTCCTGTTAATGCCAAACCCAGTTCCATGAAGTTCCGTGTCTCAAAGTCGTCTGCACGTTTGGGTGAATGCCGGACCGAGCGGTAGCCCCAGGGCGGGATTGGGTTGTTCCGTAGGCCGTTTGTCGGCGACTTGCTCAAACAATACCAACTCAGACCTGTAAAAGAGGAAAACATTTCTCCACCAAGCTCTACGCCCTGGAAGATTAACATGGAACCTGAAAATCACTAGATTGTAAAGGAAAAGAGTCTTCCAAAGGTCCATTTTCAGGTTCCATCTGAATCTTCTGGGGTGTAATCAATTGAATCAGAACTGAGCTGTACTACAGCTCATCTGAGCTACATATTGGGAATCCCCTGATCGCCCATGAGTTCTTGAAACCGCGCACACACACGAACACAAAGGGCCTACATGGGACAAAGAAAGGTGGCAAATGCAAAGAAAAACACACCAAACAAACGGGCACCAACGACGACGACTTCTTGGGCGACTACGTGACTACCTTCTGTGAAAGTCACCCTAAGTGATTGGCGTGTACCATGAGTTGTACATTCAATGAAGGTCCCAAACCATTGAATGTTTGTGCCTCGATTGACGCCCCAAAAAGGCCTGCCTGTACAAGATCCTGTGAACCAGCTAGACTCGTGCACCGAAGGGGGGTGGCCCCTTTAGCCACTTCTTTACAGAAACTTGGATGATGGGATGTATAAACGTATGGATTTCCATCATCTGACCATCACCTTTTGTGACTTCTTCCGGCCCACGACCTTCCGTGCTGGGCCCCCCCCCACCCAGTTGATAGCCCTCTCCCATTGGGAAGCCTGCAGCACTTCGCGCGCGAGCGGAGGTGGCCGTGAAGGTGCCGACGGTCTACACCTGGTTCACTCCTGAGGATCTCCCAGCAACTTCTTTGATCCGGAAAAGACCGACCCACGAACCATGGAACTAGGCGAATCCATGGACCAGACTGGAAGAGGACGACTGGTCAAAAAGACCAACGTCCGACATGGGGAACTCAGGTTCTCATGTGGGTCTCTGGAAGGAGTGTACCTATTTGAAGGGGGGGAAGACCTCGAATATGATTATGATTTTTTGAGGTGCCCACCCCCAAATGGCACCTACTTACTAGGGGGTAGGGATGTTCTTTGTAGGCCCCAGCTTTCTCAGGATTACCACCATCATCCTTGTGTATCACCTGCCCAAACAGCTGCCTGACAGCAGGTACTGACCAAAGCGCCCAAACCGGCCACATCCACCTCCCGGGCGCGAGACAGGGCGAGCATTCGTCAGGTGTCGTCCATTCTACTCACTCAACACATCTTTCCAAAGTGACACATACCTAGGCCCCCGGTTTCGGGGTGTCTAATAATAGCTCCTTAGAGGTGATTCGGGGTATCCATTAACCACCCCTGGCACCGGAGGTCCTGGTATATAGCTTGGGTATAAGTCCCATTCCCTGTAACGTGGATGATGATGGTTGGGTTGCAGGCCTTCCTCTGAAATAGTTATCATTGTTTACTGGTTGTTACAGGTAATGGCACCCCAAGAAATATTCGCCAAGCCATGTTTGCAAATTCACAAGTTTACCAACCCCTGCTTGTGTCGTGAGATGTGTATCAAAATGTGAGCAAATGTTGGGTGTGCTTTCTTTTTCACTATACCAAATAGCATCAAATAGCTTTTGGATGGTAATGCAGAAGAATGGGTGACATTCTCGGTTGATCAATTCCGTGTCAGGGTTACCGCCTCCACTAGAAATCAACCCTATACATACCCATCTACTAGGCCCCGACCCAAACGAATGGCCAGGCCTGGGTGCGCTCCTTCCATCCCCGGACCGATCTTCGATGGCGCGTCTCCCTGCGAGTCTCTGGTCCCAAGTGCCCCAATAACCCCTCCATATTAAATTGATTCTAATTAAATTCTATATATTGTTTCTACGTTCGCTTCTTGTTACTACTAGTAAGGCACTTGTTACTAGTAGCGATGCACTTGTTCCTAGTAGCTTCTTGTTACTAACTTTAATTTGAGTCTAATTAATACTAATTTAAAAGGTCCTAGTAGCGTCCTTGTTACTAGTAGTAAGGCACTTGTTACTAGTAGCGATGCGCTTGTTACTAATAGCTTCTTATACACATGTCGCAATGATGTCCCACCGAACGGGAATGAAATACATGGGGTCGTGAACCTTTTTTCCTGGAACTTGGCTGGATACAACTGGGGACCTGGGGGTAACCCCTCTTTTTCAATCAATGTCAACCGACCAAAAAATAGCCATCTATGTTTCCCAGTCCCCAACTATCTAATACGGCTTTTGGTCATGGATGCGATGGCTTAGCTAAATCAAAACCTCTTTTGCATAGCAACACTATATGTCATCCACCATGGACACAATGGGTAGACGTATCCTGTTTGATACGGCCATATCAAAACCAAACCGAAACCCACAAAGCCACAGGTAAAACGGTACATGTAACAATGTAACAAGTAAGTATAGTTCACCTGCAAGTCCTTGAGTACCGCCATACCAAGTTACCAATGACGGACGGTGAGCCTTGAGCCGTTGGCTTAGACGTTGAGCCATGAGCTGCGAGGCCACTTGCCACCGCCCATCCCTGCAAACGCGATCCAGATCTGCTTTGATCAATGGAAGAATACTCATTGCTGCGTACAGTAGAACATGTCTGGAGGTCCTCCGTATTTCCTCCATATTATAGAATATAGAATTATCGAAACAGATCGAAACACACCTTTTGGGGGGAGATGAGGAGAGTTGAATCACCTTCAAAGCTCCCCACATCACTTTTCGTTCGCCGTCCGCTCACACAAAGGACCAAACAGTGAGAGAAGGGTGCGCCGCGCTGCGCCTCACTCGGTGACAGGTCTCGGTTTTCCGGTGTATCTTGTGTAATGATTGCCCTTCACGAGTCCCTATGTACTTCACTTTAGTTGGATTCCAGAACTGCCTAAAAGATGTGTCTGTTTGTGCGACACTGACACATCTAATTATGGGCTACGGCACACGAGTACGAGTACAGAGTTGAGGAATCCTGAAGGGATGTCTGGTGGTGGACACAGACCACCGAAACTGCAAACGACCTGCGTCCGAACAAGGCATATAGCCTCGTGAAGCAGAGACTCGACACGAATGGTCACATCGTGCGACTCGTCACTGTTCCGCTCGGAATCTGGTGCCGGTTGGAGATGTGGAAAGCTTCTCAGTGGAACTGCCAACTTGCTGCAGCTGAACACTGCGCTTCGCACCTCTCGCAAGCGCTGATGGCTGCATTGTAGGACCTGATGCAAGACCGCTGGATGCCAGAAGGCGAAGCGAAGGGCAGTGATTGGTAGTGCCAAACGCCACCTGGACATGTGCTTTGTCTAATCCTATTGTCACAGCTATAAATGTGTCCTATTTTGATTCCATTCCATCTCCACCTTCCATTCCATCTCCACATCCAATACATCCAGCATTTCTTGACACCCCATCTTTGTGTCACTTCGGTCTCCCACTCTGTCCTTCCAGGTCGGCTTCCGACCTGTGTCATTCCGCGCAGTCTGTCGATCTCCCAGCCCACCGTTCCAAGTCCCTGCTCCGCATGTTTGCTCCGCTCCCGAACGCAGCAAGGAATCAGACTGAGCAGTCTTGACTCTCACCTTCGAATACTAGAACCCCCGAATACGCCCAGACGCAGCGATTCGATGCCAGCTGTCAACTTTGGAATCATGGGTCTGTTGTGAAACACACCATCTCCAAGCGGAAAGCAAGCTACGAAGTAGGTTGATGACCAAGACCGAACTCTTGACTCAGAAATCTTGGCAGATCTTGGATGATCTGGGCAGCTTAGGATCGACCAACCCCCTCTCTGGGACCCCAGCACTGTATTGGGCTGCAGCTTCCTGAGCCGGCACGACGAGGTCGTTCATCCCCGCGCAGTCGCACAGATGCTCAACGGACTGAGCTGCGCTTTCGGTCTTTCGGTCTGAGAGCTGAGCTGTTTTTTGCCACACGCCACAGATTGACATTAGATGCTGAAGGGATTGTCGAAGGGAGGTTTTGGCATGTTTTGGCTATTGCTCAACTGGATCTTTCGAGAACGGTATGATGCGCAACTGGATCCTTGACTCGTCGAAGCACCTTGTCGCCCACGTCGATCACCAATGGGTTTTTTTCAGCCCGACCACCCCGGGGTGGCACAAGTTGAGTAGTGGAAATAAAATCTATATAACGCATGAAAACAAAACAAAAAAACAGTCCTTCAACGTCTACATCCACCTGTTGAAGGAGAACAACAACAACAACAACAGATCCGTTGTTTTCGGTCTTTTGGGGTTCCCTCTTTCCACTCGACCTCTTCCACCGCGGCTTCAGGTTCGCGGCGCTTGACCCGTTCCGCGTCGCCACTCCGGAGCTCGCCCCGTTGAAGCTAAGCTTCAATCTGGAAATGTCACGAAGCAAGCACAGCGCAGCCTGGGAGATCGTTTTCGAGCACGCGAAACGGTCAAACCGAAACGGAAGAGCTGAGCAGGGCATGGGCATCATCCAAGTGGACTCCCCAGTGCGGACCCACTGATCAGTTCGCTTCAAAACGGTAACTCTTCGTTGGGTACTCAAGAGTCTGAGCCGGTCAAGCGAGCCGGTCAAGCAGAAAAATCGAACTGCCTTGCACAACTACAGAAGTACCCCTTCTCGAGGTTTACGGTACACCATTTCCTTGCAAAACCTCCAAGAGAACAGTGTGGCTGTCAATTGAATTCACCAACAAATCAAACAGGACTATAGTACGATCATTACGATCTATAAGATGAGGTTGGACATTGACAGTCTCACACCTGCCATACACATCTGCATTCTCTGCACTAGGCCCAAACAACTTGCACTTGAAACAAAGTTTGGACTTTGAGGCTCGACTTGAGTAGCCTGCCTCTTTCTTTCTTTATTTATTTATATTTATTTCTATTTCTTTCTTTCTTTCTTTCTGTCTTTCTTTATTTCTTTCTTTCTTTCATTCATTCTTTCTTTCTTTCTCTCTCTCTCTCTATCCATCTCGTTTGTGTGTTCTACATCTCATAAGAATTGTCCTCCTTGAATCTTCTAAACACATGGAAGAGACCGGCAACCTGAGTTCACCACGTCGGACGTCGCTCTTTGGACAAGTCGTCCAGCGGCGTCCGTCCGTTTCGTCTCGGTCCGACCCACCGTCTCGCGGCGTCGGTGGCGTCGGACCGCGGTCCGCGGACGAAACGAGACGGCGTGAGACGGCGCGAGACGGGGCCTCCCAAAGGCCGGCTTTCTCACAAGCACTGATGGCCTGAGATGAGGTGACTTGATTGGCAGAACAAGAGAGAGAGAGAGAGAGAACTCTTCCTCAGTGCACTTGATTGGGTGACTTCGATTCGACTTGGACTCGTCAAATCTCGATTGGGAGGAAGGAGAGAGAGAGAGAGAGCGGTGGGAGGCCCAGCCCGCGGTCAGCCCCGGACCCATGGCCCAACATCGGCCAAGACCCATGGCGGCGGTTCGCGACTATAAAACAGGGAGTGAACATATTTGATGTTTCAGATTGATCCGTAGATTTCCTCCTACCTCTTTCCTGGCGTAACGAACCACGTGACCGAAGCCACGTGGCCTACTAAACCGGCCGACCACCGGTCTCCCGGCCGGTCGACCGAGGTGCCCCACGGCATTGTAGGCAACGAGACCTAAGACTGGACAAGCTGGGAAGTGAACCGAATCCGCCACGACAAGCTGGGGACCAGCTGGTGAAATGATATGAACCCTATCCCTTGGCCGGCTGACAAGGGTGTCAATATATGTGAGTGTAAGCATGCCATATAGACGGAGTGTCTGGGAATGGTTATTAAATATGTTTAAACCCCTTGCAAGGAATGGCTTTCGTGGCAGATTGGCCTGATCATGCCTGATCCTAGGTGGCATGTCTGTGGCTTTCGTGCGTGCTGAAGCACCCAACATGACTCATCCCTCTGTCAAAACCTTCGAGTCAAATGGATTCCAGGGGTGGAGGCTTCCCAAAGGGAGAACTTCTCGTGGTGTCCTGCGTGAACCTCATGCACGAGGTTGAACCTCAGGGCTCTTTTCCAAAACGAGTTCTGACTGAAACCGTCAAACAGCAACCATATTAAATATATATTAATATTATACTGACGGCTACTCGTGAGCCTGTGCAAAACCTTTCTTTCTTTCAAGCTCTTGGTGTCTTTTCCATGTCATCGTAGGGACTCGGTCGAAAATAAGAAGGCCATCCTAAGGGCATGCTGCATGTCTCGTTGATTCCAAGGTCCTCGTGTGCCGCCCGGTCGCCGCCCGGTCGCCGGTCAAACGGCCCTCCGGCGCCTTCGTCTCCGTGCGGACGGAGCAGGTGAAGAAGGGCCAGGGCCACGTCCCAACGCCTCGGCCGGGTCGAGTGGCGGTCGGGCGGCACCGATGGGTAGGTCAGGTGCCCACCCCCTATAGGTACCACTCCAAGTTGATACATGAACGCTGGGTCTTACAATGTCTTAATATGTCATTGGGAAAAATGTTGGAAACATCATCTGAGGTAAAGGTTGAGAAGTAAGGTTAAGGAACATATGGAAATATTGAACACACACTTGGGCACACCTCGTGGTCAAGACCGGTCAAAGCCCATGTCAAACAAGTGCTTTGCTATTCGTTGACTTGAAGGTTCTGGAAACAATCATGCAAATCACAGGAGGACATTCTATATAGCCAAGGTTTGACCACTTAGTTAGTGGTCAGACTCGAAACAAAATTCATATCATTTCATATATCGCACATGTCGAACAATAGCCACAATGTCACAACATCAGTGACAACCAGTCTGAGGAAACCACAAAACCAAATGACAGCTGTGACAGTTCTCTTGAGAAGCTCTAGGACGTCCTCTTGATGATTCAATTTCGCATCAACATCATGAACCATCTACCAGAGCGATGCCACATGCCACTTGCCTCGCAGGTTTCATCATGTTTCTTGGTTCAATCAGTTCCACTGTTCGGACGACCAGTGAGAGCGGTTGAGGACCGTGCCCAGTGAGAGCGGTTCATTTCCCCACCGAAGTGAGGACCGCTGGGACGATCCAAGCGTCATAAAGGTACCCCACGGATTCGGGTGTGACTCCTACACACACACACATATATATATATATCATGTGTTAGAGGGTGCATGGGCCTCTTTGTCTGTGGAGACCCAGGAGCTATAATATGGATGTATCGTTAAAACTACAGGATCTATATCTAAAAAAAACAGAACCACCAAGGTCTATATCTATTATAAAACATTACTAATGTTACGTAAAACAAAATGTAAAGTGTTGTGGTCGATCAATGCTCTTTCATGATGAAGTGGCCATTCTTCGCGAAAGAAGGAATCTTTCATGGATGTTTTGCAGCCTGTAGTCGGAGAAACATGGCTCTAAAGCACTATCTAGTCAAAATGCATTTCAACTGTAAACAAAACATGACCTACACTCAAGGTTCAGAGTTGCTGGGGGGAATGGGTGGGGCTCAAGTTTGGAACCGGGACATTAATGGCACATTCGCAGAACTTTCACGGATCCTTTACAAAAGTATTCACCGGTTTCCCAAAAATGCAACTCATGCATGAAAATAGCTGGGGATCATTTCCCCCACTGTCAGGGCTGCAAGGGTGATGCAATTGCAGTTTGCGAGTCCGTGACAGTCAGGAAGGGAATTGGACAATCAGGATAATTCTCAGTCTGTAAGAGGAGGAGAGTCATCGGAGAATCCTTTACGCACTGTGAGGGCTGCCCCGTCTGCGCGGCCGGACATGTTGAAGCTTCTCAGTTTCTTCATTTGTGACAGTGGACGGTCTACCAGCTCTCCCGGAGCATTGCCTTGTATTGGTCGGTAAAGAAATTACAGCTGCAAGAAGCAGGTCCGGAGGCTGCATGGGCCGTGCCAACACCTCGCCCTCGCCACAGCGAAATACCCTGGCAAACTCCGGAATACATGCCTTCGATCAATGAATATATGGTGCAAAACAAACAACACAAACCTCTTCGCGGTTCCCTCATCGCGGATCTTGACCGCAAATGGTTTTGACTGCAACTAAAGAGTCAGTTTGTATCAAACCCCTTACACACCTCCTTTGGATCAACTCTCATATGTATAGGTACTTGACATGGATGTCGTTTTCAGCTTTGAGACTGCAAATGTAGGCTGGGACTCCTGTCCTACCCGTACCTCTGCACATCTCCACCTCTTTACCCCGGACATCTAGCAGTCCGAGACACCAAAAAACGCTGGTGACCTTTGCGTTGGGATGTTTGCGTCCACCGACTCATCTCCTTCAGGACCAGCGGCGCAGCATGCGCGCAGCTGCTCACCGCCGCCTCGGTGGATCGATTCGAAGAAGCAGCAAAAGCCCGGATCGTCTGGACCATCCGAAAGAATCATAAAGAAACACAGCTCGACCCATGGAGGTCTTCTTCTGCTTTCGTGGTGAAATGGTCTTTAGAGTCTTTTGGTTGCCTCTGGAGGCTTCTTGTGGGGGAAGATGTATTCCATGCTCAAAACACATCAAAACCATCAGATCCTCTCCAAAGAAAAAAACACGCCTTCGATCGATCCTCCGCAGGGATCTCTGATAACGACAGGAGTGATGTACTATCCACTTGTTTTGATGGATTCCGAATCCGAAAAAAACACAACAACATCGGGGCAAACGACCAAAAAACCTGCCAAACGGAACAAACAAACGACCATCAACGACCAAACAACATCAGGTAATAGCAATAGCATCGCGTACATTCGGCAATAGCTCGGACACCAAAAGCATGCGGACACCACAAGACCCTGCATGGTACGGCCCGACCAAGCACCAAACACCTGCCGCCCAGCGGCACTGAGCGCCACGGTGTTCCGACCTGGGCGAAGAAAGTGAAAGTAGATCGATCGTTGACCCCGACTCGGAAGAAGGTGAAACAACATGAACGTCAAAGACCCGCCAGAATGTTCATAGATGCAATATGTACATATATATAGCTATATATATAACTATATATCGTATATATATATGTCAAAAAAACGGATTCTTTTCAAAGAACAAGGGAAACTTAGTTCTTATCAGTTTTTCACCTTTTCTCAATAACACATGTGTAAAAGGTGGCGGAATTATTGTTCCAGTCACCTTTCTCTGGACACTAGACCACCTGTCCACACAGAATCATCAAATCTATTCAAATATCTATTTTTCAAATTGCCAAAGAGGCAAATTCTGAGCAAAGGCAATTCATGAGCTGAGCAGCTAAATGGTACTGGGACAATTGTCGTAGATGTTTTTTTCAATACGATTGCAGTATGCATTCGAAAAGGGAGTTTCCCTGCGTCAGGTTTACAACCGACAAGTCAGCCACGAAGGAGCAAAGCACCGCTGTTTAGTGAGAAACGGTTATTTGAAGGTTTAACCGGCCCGATCGTTTTTTTAATCACAGGTCAAAGGCAGTCCAAGTGACACAAACATCATTGGTTGAGTTTGGCTGGCACATTGTCTACATCAAAAGAAAGAAGAACGGCAAAAAATCAAAAAAATATGTCTTGCATGTCTTGCATTGACAGATGCTAAACAATCCTCTGAAATTTGGTCTGGTTCCATTCCTCGTTCGTAAGGAAAAGAATCTTTAAGACCGAGCTTGACCAAAACAATATGTGAATAATGAAACAGCTGTTTTTTGCTGCTTGATTTGAATCCAGAATTGATTGTAAAGGGGTAATAACAAGAAACATTGTATGAAAACCTCCTGGAGCGGGCTGGCTGAAAAGAACAAAAGTTGACAATCAAACCAAGAAGGAAAAAACTACTTAAGTAGGGGTACTGGTAACTTAAGTACCAAGAAAGCAACCAACTACAAAACTACCAAACAGCAGCATACCAAAACAAACAAGAATATGTTTATCCCCACCTGTCAGGTGAGGGTTGTTAGATCACGACCATCCGCGCCCAGTGTTCCTTGCCGAAACCTCAACCGCAAGCGCTAGGCCCAAGTGTTCCCTGGCGGACCTCAACCACGACCATCCACGCCCAGTGTTCCCTGCCGGACCTCAACAGCGAGCTCCAAACCCAAGTGTTCCCCACCGGACCTCAACCGCGACCATCCGCGCCCAGTGTTCCCTGCCGGAACTCAACCGCGAGCTCCAGGCCCAAGTGTTCCCTTCCGGACCTCAACCACAGCACACAACCACAACCACAAACACACAACCACAAACACCATCACAACCACACAACCACAAACACACAACAACCACAAACACCATCACAAACACACAACAACAACAACAACAACAACAACAACAACAACACACACAACCACAAACACACAACCACAAACACACAACCGCAAACACACAACCACAAACACACAACCACAAACACAACACCACAAACACACAACCACAAACACAACACCACAAACACAAACACAACCACCAACACACAACCACACGCACAGAACGACAAACACACAACCACACACACAAACACAACCACCAACACACAACCACAAGAACAGAACGACAAACACACAACCACAAACACAAACACAACCACCAACACACAACCACAAGCACAGAACCACAAACACACAACCACACACGCAATCACAAACACACAATCGCACACACGCAAACACAAACACGCAACCACAAACACACAATCGCAAAAACACAATCACAAACACCACAAACACACAACCACGCAATGACAACCACACAACCACAAACGAAAACCACAAACAAACAACCACAAAAAACACAACCACAAAATACGCAACCACAAACACATGACCACAAACACACAACCACAAAAACACGACCACAAACACACAAATACAAACACGCAAACACACAACCACAAACACACAATCACAAACACGCAACCACAAACACACAACCACAAACACAACACCACAAACACACAACCACAAACACAACCACAAACACAACCACCAACACACAACCACAAGCACAGAACGACAAACACACAACCACAAACACAAACACAACCACCAACACACAACCACTAAGCGCAGAACCACAAACACACGCGCAATCACAAACACACAATCGCACACACGCAAACACAAACACGCAACCACAAACACACATTCACAAAAACACATTCACAAACACCACAAACACAACCACAAACACACAACCACACACACAACCACGCAATCACAACCACACAACCACAAATGAAAACCACAGACAAACAACCACAAAAACACAACCACAAAAATGCAACCACAAACACACGACCACAAACACACGACCACGAACACACAACCACAAAAACACGACCACAAACACACAAACACAAACACGCAAACACACAATCACAAACGCACAATCAGAAACACGCAACCACAAACACACAACCACAAACACACAACCACAAAAACGCAACCACAAAAACACAACCACAAACGCACAACCACAAACACGCAACCACAAACACACAACCACAAACACACAA